CATCGTCCTAAACCCCTCTCAAATCATCATCTATTTTTTTCAATCTTTTTCCCCAAGTTCAAAGCTCTCATCTTTGGTAAGTTGAACCTTCTGTAATGGTGTTCTTCGGTAATTTTTAGTCATATTTGATTGTTTATTGAGTATAACTCTCTCTGTTCATATTTATATGTCCCATTTACTAAAAAGAGATGGTCCTTAATATTAGTCATTGTATAAAAGCAATACATAAATGATATTATTCTTCCTATTTTACCTTTGAAAATAATAGTCTTGAAAGTATCAACATAGGAAAATTAAATGATTAATCCAGGTTCATTGATCAATTTAATTAATCAAAATAAATTAATTTATGTTCATTTATGAAAAAAAATTTGAGGGAACACCATATAAGGATACACTGGTAAATTTACCTAATTTCTTAAAGATCGTAAAATCTAAAATAGTGACATATAAATAAGAATGGAAAAAGTAATACACAAATCTAATACATATATTTTGTTAATACATTCTATCAAATCTAAAAATCTAATGGTTGTGATTTATGTGAAAGAGAGAAGTGCCCCTATAATATAGTGAAGGGTGCATGTATTTCCTTAGACTGATAAAGAAAATAGTCATAAGCTCTGATAGAGGATCTTTTTGGTGTTATTAACATTTATTTCTTTAGTTTATTTTTACTAATATTTTAAATTTTACACGATTTAAAAAAAAAAAAATTGATATAAATGTTGAAAGTATTTGCAAAAGGTTTATGTGGAAAGAAAATCTTAAAACATCAAAAAAAAAAAAAAAAAAACCTTAATTGCTTGGGAGAAATTATGTTGGTCAAAGATATGTGGAGGAATGAACTTTCTGGATGTGCATACCTGAAACAAAGCTGCAATCAGTGGCGGAGCCAGAAATTTAAATAAGAGGTTCAAAATCTGAGAAGTAAACACACGAACTAGTGGAAGGGGGTTCGACATCTATTATACATACATAAAAAATAATTTTAACCATGTATAAATAGTAATATTATTCGTCCAGGGATCCCTCATTATATGCTGCCTCCGCCCTTGGCTGCAATAGAGAAATTATTGTGGAACCTGTGCAAAAAAAAAAAAAAAAAGATAAACTATAGGTAAAGTGGATCCATAACTACTATGGACAAGAAGAAATATGGGGCATCACACAAGCCAAGAAAGCCTCTTGGGTGGTATAGAGAATACTAAAGGCACTCAAAAATCTCCTAACTGCTAGATACAATGAACAAGCACTGCTGAATATTAAAAACTACTCTGTCAAGGAGGTCTATAAAAAGATGAGGGGAAGCATGGACATGGTTGAGTGGAGGAAGTTGGTCTGTACAAAATATGAAGCTTCTAAATGGTTGTTCATACTATATCTTGCCTTCAACAGGAGATTATCAACAAAGATTAGATTGGCGAAATGGGGGATATATAGTTGCTAGCTTGACATGTCTACTATGTCAAGAGGAGGATGAAGACATTGAACACTTGTTCTTTGAATGCTCATTCACTTCAAATGTGTGGAATAAGATTCTGACATGGCAAGGGATTCAGAGGCCTAGCCTAAAATGGCAGGATGAAGTACAATGGGCATTAGCACATATAAAGAGCAAAAACAATGTAACACAGGAATATAGAATGACACTGGCAGGACCATATATTGTTTATGAAAGGAACGAAACTACAAAAATATTTCAGCACAAACAGAGAAATAGAAGGAGACTATCATCAACAGATAATACAAAGTGTGCACATAAGAGGAACCCAGAATGTCAAGTGAGGAAGTAGGATGTAACAGCTTAATATATATCCCTAGTATCAATGTTAGAAAGAAAGGATAGTTGTTAGAGTGTGATGGGCGTAGCTGAGCTTGGGGCTGCTTGTCCAAGCATGCTGATTTTATTTTTTTTGAATGTTTTGTATTGCTCACTTTACCAAAAAAAAAAAATGGTTGATATAACTATATTATTATAATAATATTTATATCAATTGATATTTAATATTAGATCTTAAAAATAATTTAGAGAATAAGTAGCTAATATTAAAAACAAAATATATTAAAATAACTATTTTTTAATATATTAAAAATGAAAAATAAAAAAAAATCTCTTTATAAAAAATAGCGACAAGTAAAATGAAGTAATAAAAGAAGTACCATAAATCGTGATACCTTGTATAATTTAACATGTTATTTACACTCGTTCAAATTAATTTGTGTGCATATTTGAGGGTATACGAAATTATGATTAATAATGTGTTTGCATATAAACATGCATTAAATAAGAAAAACACATTTTCTAAAATTATTTTTAAACCTCACACCTCAACTTTAATCTAACTCAAGTCTTGAGTACAAATTTCCTATACAAATCTGGATCCTACTCCTGATTCTAGATTCAGAATTCGATTTCCGACCTCGATGCAAGATCCAACTCCCGAGTTCTAGGTAGGTTGGGATCAGGGTCCGATCCCGATTGCAATGTCGAGTTTATGGTAAGGAATTAAGGTTGAATCCCAAATTGGATATCAAGATCAAGTCCCGAGTCAGTGTTTGGAGTCGGATTTTGGATCGAATGTCGAGGTCGAGTTCCGATTTAGGAGTTGAGTTCGGGTTTGGATCGGTCGTAAAGGTCGGATGTCGAGGTCAGATTCAAATTTGGAAGTCGGGTTGAATTCTGATTCAAAAGTCGGATCCCAGATTGGGAGTAGGGTCTTAGTCTGAAATTCATATCGTGAGATGGGTGTTAGGATCAGGTTCATGATCAGTCATCAAGGTCGAGTGTCGTCGAGGTCAGGTTCTGATTTGGAAGTCGAATCGAGAAACGTGATCGGGTCTCGAGTTAGGTGTTAGATTCAGGTTTCATCTAGAGAGTTGAGGTCGAGTCCTAGGTCAGGTGTCGAGTTTTGGTTCCGGATCGAATGTTGGGGTCGAGTCTCAATTCGGGTGTTAAGGTCAGGTGTCATGTCCTCATTCAGATGTTAGGGTCAGATCCAATGTTAGGTGTCGGGTCGAATGTCAAGATCAGATCTCATATCGATCATCGGGGTCGTGTCCTGATTCGAATGTTCAAGTCGATTTTCGGATCAATTATCTGGATTGATTTTCAAGTCAAAAACTAAATTTCTTAAAAGTATTTTCTACTCTCTACTCAAAATTAAGATATTTTCTGGAAAAGGGTCATATTTGCCCTTGTACTCTTAGAAAATAGTTATATTTATATCTCATCATACATTTTTGATATATTTACTCTTATCATCCAACTATGGGTTCATATTTGCCCTCGGAGAGTTAACTCTCATCTTCCCACCCTTATTAGCTATGTGGCACTCATGTGAATTTATTTTTACTTCAATTATTACATTTAAACAATCATTTCAAATAATCACTTATTCAACCCGAGATCATCTGATCTTTAAAAGAGCAAAGATCAACACACCCAGTATCCAGAATTCTCCGCAAAGCAAAAAAGATCAAATCAAATTTTAAACATAAAACATGAAAATGAAGCAAACTTGCCATGAATGAGAGTTCCTTTCATATGAAAGAAATCCTATAATCTAAGACAAAGCTCATTGGAACAAGACTGCAATAGAAACTCTCCCATAGGCCATACAGAGAGATATAACCCATTAAATTATGACTAAATAGATAAGCAAACTTTCAACCAAAATGACAACTCCCTCCATCCTAGCAAGCTTCTACATCTCAACTTCATCTTAAATTTTCTTGTCAACGAGATCCTCAAACAAATTAGCAGCATCTTGAACTGTTGCAATAGTTTATGCATTCTCCTCTTCCACGGTGATTCCAAATCAACAACCCACAAGCCAAAATCCTGACTCTGTTGAATTAAAAATAAATACACATGAGTGCCACATAGATAATAGGGGTGGGAAGATGAGAGTTAACTCTCTGAGGGCAAATATGAACCCATAGTTGGATGATAAGGATAAATATATCAAAAAAGTATGACGAGGGTAAATATGTACTTAGGGCAAATATGACCCTTTTACGAAATATTTTTCTTTAATACCAAAACCCTTATATCTAGGGTTTCACCGTTCCTCTCAATTCCAGGCAACCTACACTTTCTTACTTCTTATCGGGGTATTTCCAACTTTTTCGCATTGCCACCTCTGTGTATTTTGGTACTGTTCTAGTTTCGCCATTTTTGAATCAGCTAGTATGACTAAACAAGGTATGCAATTCTCTTTCTAGTTATTTTTTTTTTAATTACAAGTTTTAAGCCTAATAAGATTATTACAACTTATTTTAGCACCTAGTAAAAGAGCTGCTGTTGAAGGGGAAAAAGAAGATATAATCATTGCTCTGCCAAGAAACGTTGTTGATCGTATCCTTGAGCTCTTGTCGGTTCACGATGCAGCAAGAACTAGTATTTTGTCTAGTAAATGGAGAGATATTTGGGTCTCACTTCCATATCTAGTGCTAAATAACTATTTTTGTAAAAAGTTGGCAGAAAAATCTACCACTGTTTTTAAAATAACAATTGATGAGATTCTCTTACAGCATGTTGGAGACATTGTGAAGTTTGTTCTTGACGTTTCAGGAATAAATTTGAATTTGTCTTCATATGCTACTATTAATAGATGGATGAGTTATGTCACCAAAAATGGTGTCAAGGAGCTAACTATTAATATGTCGGATAATAAAACGTATATACTGCCTTCTTATGTATATAATTGTCCGACCTTGACGCATTTGGAAATCTTCAACTGTGTCTTCAAACCACCAACTTCTTTTCTTGGCTTTCGGAATCTTACGTATCTTCATCTAGAAAGAAAAACATTTGTGCCAACCAACCAATTTTGTGTTATCAAAGTTCCCCTTGTTGTGGATTTAGCCTTGATATTCTATTGTGGCACTCAATACTTGAAGATGGTTTCACCACAATTGAAGTCCTTGTTTGTTGTTGTGGGTCACTGTCTCGTGCTAAATTGCTTTATGAATTGCAATAAACTGAGCAAGTTGGTGATTGAATTGGAAAAAGTGGAGGATAATCCAAAACATGATGAAATATCAACCTTGGAAAAGTTGCTATTTAGCTTTCCTTCCCTTGAACAACTTTATTTGGATCGCTTGGTCCTTGAGGTAAGAAATTGACATGTTGTTTCACTTGAATATTTAATATATAGTGATTGTATTCATCGAATTCTAATTATTGTACTTTTCGGAAAGCTTTTGAATGCAAATATAGTTCTGGAGGAGCTTCCTCCCAAGCTCAACTAATTGTGGTGTCTACACTTAGGTGTTGATTTCAACAAAGTGGATCAGACTTGTTGTGCTCTACAGTTAATCAAGAGTTTTCCTAATTTGAGTAAACTTCTGATTACGGTAAGAAATAGCACATATATGTTGTCGTGCAATGGATATAATTATTATTTGGTTTCATGTTTGCTCTTCATATATTTGAACTTGAGAAGCTAAAATGTCTTGGGATTTCTTTATACATTAGGTCTAGGATGGCGACGACAATGCTTAAACAATTATGAAATATTTGGAGACACGAACCTGCTTGAACAGACCACTTAACAAGCTCAAGTATGTGACCATCAGTTCTTTTAAGTGTTCAAAACCCAAGTGTTTTTTGTAAAGCTATTATGTGCTCGCACTCCGTCTCTTGTAAGGATGTGCATTGACCAAGGGATAGCCATTGATTCCCAGGAAGAAAGGAATATCACCATAAAATTGATGTGTTTTCCTAGAGCTTCCACACGGGCAGAACTGTTCTATTTTCCATTTGAGGCTACGAACGCAGACTGATGCCCCTGTTCTCAATGAGTTTTGTTAAACAAGGTACTGAATTGGCCAATTACGTAAAACGTGTGGTTTCCTTAATGGTAAATATGTTCATCACTTGGATGTTTTTAAAGTTGAAGAGTTTGTGTTGACATATGCATATTTAGCTACCTGTTTGGTAACTAAGGAAGGAATTTCAGTGATATAGTCCATGAATTGCAGGGAAAGATTCTTGGTTTTGGGGCTATTTTTGCAAAGCACATGCAGATTCAAATGTTGCTTCTTTTTTCTTTGTATATGAGTCCGGAGACATATATTGCTATACTTTTATCCCGGGCTCAAAAGTCAACCCCAAGATCAAAATCGTAAATTTGACACCAATTAGTTTACCAATAAGGTCAGGAGCATATGTGCCAAAAAATTATTGAAATCTAAGCACTAATTGATTCCCAAATTGAAGAAACATCAATATTCAACTCTAGGTATTAAAAGCCCCAATTTATAATCAATTTTTGTATGTGAATACCAATGACCCCCCTCCTTTTTCGTGAATGCGGAGGAGTGAGTTACTGGCACTAGAAGACAACAAAACTAAAAAAATCAAACTTCAACCAAAACTTCAATCCACTCCTTGGAATTACTTCGGAACCTTCCAGATGCAAACCAATTATACAGATTGACGGCAAAACATGTTTCAAGCCTGTTGAAATTATCAAAACAACAGGACAAAACCTACTTTTCCAAAATGCTAGAATCCATCCAATGATCCAAATCACTCTTGAGGTTTGACAGATCCAAATCACATGTCAAACCTACTTATCATCCCTCTCAATTGTTGGCAACCTGCACTTTCTCACTTTTTCACCGGAATTTCCAACTCTTCTCTTGATATGACATTGCCACCTCTGTGTACTTTGGTACTGTTCTATTTCACCATTTTTGAATCAGCTAGTATGACTCAACAAGGTATACAATTCTGTTTTCCTCTATTCAGTACTGCCAATCGATTTTTATCTAAACCGTGAACACATTTAATTACTATTGTCAATCACTATACCATAAGATACTACGCACAATCAACATCATCAGTCAACACCATTCCAAATTGACAAACAATCACCATCGTTATTCATCACCACAATCAATCGGCATATCGGTGGATCGGACGGGTAATTTTGCTTAACGATTTGGCCTATCAGATCGGTTTTTAAATTTACTAATCCGTTAGCCAAACAACAAGATATCAATTTGTTCGATAACGGATTAACAATTATCAGGTAATGTATTGGCTAACATCTACTTTTTTTCATGAACGCACCTTAAAAAAGGGACTTCTTTTCACTATTTTAAATGTAAGTTAAATTATTAATTTTTTTCTATATTTCAAAAAATATATAGATTAATAGTTATATAATAGTTACTACAATAGAAAAAAGTAAATAGTTTTTTCAATTTTTGTCTTTACGGCTTTAACAATAAATAACTATATATATGGCAAAATATTACATGAGACTAATATATCTAAGATAAAAGTGTAAGTATGGTAACTCTGAGTCTGTTTGGAAAACCACGTGGTAATTGGAATTGGTGTAATTACTAGGGTAGTAATAATCAGCCTAGTAATTTTACAGTCTAGTAATTACACTGACCTGTTTGGTTGCCTCAGTGTAATTACACTGTAGTTACACATGTCTTGTTTGGATGTCACAGTGTAATTAATTATACATGTTCTGTTTGGACTTTGGATGCACAATTGCAATCATAAAATTATATTAAATTTTAAAAATAAAAATTTATACTAAACAAATAAGAAACTTTATAAATGATATTAAATTAAATATTTAAGATATATATTAATTAATAAACATATGTTCTTAACTAATATTATGAAAAAAAATAATTGATTTATATATAATTTCAAATTAATATATTTCAATTGAATTGATCATAAAAACCAAAAGTATGAAGTTTCTACGAACATCGTGAAATGCATGTTTGATAAAAATATTAATATATAAATAAAATGTCATAAATTATTAAAATGTTTAACAAAAAGATAATCTAATTAAAAAATGACTTGCAATGTGAATTCAATATTACTAAAACAAATGAAATTGAAAAATATAACATAAGTTATAAATTCAAAACAAAAAATTTAACATAATATTCTTATCGCAAATTTCAACATCGCATAAATAAATATGATGTATTTTTATTTTTTTAAAAGAAAGAAAACGTAAGTCTATAACCTTATTTAACAATAAATTATATTTTAATTTAAAAATTAGAATACTAATAAAATTATGCTAATGAGAAAATAAGCATGGCATAAAGAAAGTAGATAATACAAAAAAATTGCATAGAAGCATGTGAATAAGGTTGAGAATGAGAAGGAAATTATAATAATATAAAATAAAAAATAAACTTTTACAGATTTTTAGAATAATAAAAAAAAAAAAAACTTAAAATAATAGAAATAAAAAATTAAAACAAAAAAATAAATAAAAGAAATTAAAAAGTAGTCAGCCGGTAATTACACCATGTAATTACCAACAATTCGCATCTTCTCCCTAATTGGAGAGTGTAATTATCCCTGCCAATTACACCAATTACCTGCTGACCAAGTAATTATTTGTCCAACCAAACAGGACAGTCAGTGTAATTACACTCAATAACACTCAATTTAATTACTAGGTTGGCTTTCCAAACAGGCCCTTAATGGGTTAACGATTTATCCTATAAGGAAATTGAATAATTTTTCCCCACACCAATAAGTCGTTAATTATAAAATTCTAATCTGTCCACCAATCATTTATTCAATAACCCAATACAAATAAGCCAATAAGCTAATTTTACGATTGACTTATCGATTACAAATTGACTTTGAACACCCCTGCCATCAATCCATATTAAAATTTTAAAATATTTTAATTTAATTTTATATTTATTGTTTTCTAAATAAAGACAAATTTTATTTAAAAAACAAGCTATATTAATTATTTAATATTCAAACGTTTTAATGGAAACGGAAAAGGGTCAAAATTGCCCCTGAACTATGCGAAATAGACCACTTATACCCTCCATTACATTTTGGGATCAAAAATACCCCCGCAGTTATCCCAGGAGACCACAAATACCCTCAAGAGTTAACACCCCAATTTTTTAGTGACGTGGCATGCCACATGGGACTAATCCTTCCACCTAATCATTGCCAACTAAGATTCACTACAAAAGAACTTGACTTTTAGTGGCGACAAAGTTGCCACAAAATCCCAAAATATTGCCACTAAAGGTTATGAGTGATTTTTAATGGCGACTAAGGCTCCAACAACCATTCGCTAGTAAAACCTATTTTTTCAACAAAAAAAATATGATAATTAATTTTCGATTGCGACCTAATTTTCTAAAATAAATAACTTGCAATATCCATATTAAAAACATCCAATATTATTACGAAAAATAATCAAAATTACTTCTCAATTCAAATCTCCTACTATATATATAATGAATTATTGTACATTTTATACATTTACATATGACATAAAAATAAAACATATAGTGTCTTCAAACTCCTACTTAATCGATATCATATTTGGTTTTTAAAAAACAATGAAGAAAAAAACACAAAATTAGAATTTAATGTTAAAAACTTTTAGTGACGATTTTCTGGGCTTTTGTGGCGACTGTTGTTGCCGCTAAAGGTGTAGTTCTTTTGTAGTGAATCCTAGTTGGCAATGCTTAGGTGGAAGGATTAGTCCCACGTGGCTTGCCACGTCAACAAAAATTTGAAGTGTTAACTCTTGAGGGTATTTGTGGTCTCTTAGAATAACAGCAGGGGCATTTTTTATCCCAAAATGTAACGAAGGATATAAATTGTCTATTTCATATAGTTCGGGGGCAATTTTGACCCTTTTCCATAATGGAAATGAAAACAAATGAGCCAATGCAACCCAGACCAAAAAATCCCTAAAATCTAGGGTTTCACCATGGCATTTCCTCGCTCTCAATTGCTTGGCAGTAACGTTTCTTTGCCGGGCATTTCACTTTTTCTTAATACGGCGTTGCCACCTCTGTGCATTTTGTTACTATTTTTGAATCAGCCAGCATGACTCAACAAGGTATAAAATTCTCTCTTTTCCTCTTTCTAGTATTTTTTTGGATAATAAATTTTAAGATATTATTTTTACTAATTTTAGCACCTAGTAAAAGAGCTGCTGTTGAAGGGGAAAAAGAAGATATAATCATTGCTCTACCAAGAAATGTTGTTGATCGTATCCTTGAGCACTTGCCGGTTCACGATGCAGCAAGAACTGGTATTTTGTCTAGTAAATGGAGAGATATTTGGGTCTCACTTCCATAACTAGTGCTAAATAACTATTTTTGCAAAAAGTTGACAGCAAAATCTACAATTGTTTTTAAAATAACAATTGATGAGATTCTCTAACAGCATGTTGGAGATATTGTGAAGTTTGTTCTTGACGTTTCAGGAATAAATTTGTCTTCATATGCTAGTATTAATAGATGGATGTGTTATGTCACCAGAAATGGTGTCAAGGAGCTAACTATTAATATGTCGGATAATAGAATTTATATACTGCCTTCTTATGTATTTAAATGTCCGACCTTCACACGCTTGGAACTGTTCAACTGTGTCTTCAAACCATCAAATTCATATCTTGGCTTTCAGAATCTTACGTATCTTCATCTACAAAGAATAACATTTGTGCCAACCAACCAGTTTTGTGTTATCGATGTTCCCCTTCTTGTGGATTTAGTCTTGATGTTCTGTTGTGGCATTCAATACTTGAAGATGGTTTCACCAGAATTGGGGTCCTTGGTTGTTCTTGTGGGTCACTATCTCATGCTAAATTGCTTTATGAATTGCAATAAACTGATCCTGTTGGTGATTGAATTGGAAAAAATGGAGGATAATCCAAAACATGATGAAATATCAACTTTGGAAAGGTTTCTATTTAGCTTTGGTTCACTTGAACAACTTTATTTGGGTTCCTTGATCCTTGAGGTAAGAAAATCGACGTGTTGTTTCACTTGAATATCTAATATATAGTGATTATTCATCAAATTCTAATTATTGTATTTGTCTAAAAGTTTTTGAACGCAAATATAGTTCTGGATGAGCTTTCTTCCAAGCTCAACTTCTTGTGGTGTCTACACTTAGGCGTTGATTTCAACAAAGTGGATCAGACTTGTTGTACTCCACAGTTAATCAAGAGTTTTCCTAATTTGAGTAAACTTCTGATTACGGTAAGAAATAGTACATATATGTTGTCATGCAATGGATATAATTGTTATTTGGTTTCATGTTTGCTCTTCATATATTTGAACTTGAGAAGCTAAAATTTCTCTATACATTAGGTCGAGGGTAGTGATGACAATGTTGAAACAATTATAAAATATTTGGAGACACAAACCTGCTTGAATAGACCACTTAACGAGCTCGAGTATGTGACCATCAGTTCTTTTAAGTGTTCAAAAACTAAGTGTTTTTTGTAAAGCTATTATTTGCTCGCACTCCGTCTCTTGTAAGGATGTGCATTGAGCAAGGGATAATCATTGATTCCAAGGAAGAAAGGAATATCACCATAAAATTGATGCGTTTCCCCAGAGCTTCCACACGGGCAGAACTGTTCTATTTTCCATTTGAGGTTACGAACGCAGATTGATTCTCCTGTTTTCAATGAGTTTTGTTAAACAAGGCACTAAATTGGCCAATTTCTTAAACGTGTGGTTTCCTTAACGATTAATATGTTCATCAATTGGATGTTATTAAAGTTAAGAGTCTGTGTTGACATATGCTATATTTAGCTACCTGTTTTGTAACTAAGGAAGTAATTTGACAGGAAGTTGAGTGATATAGTCCATGAATTGCATGGAAAGATTCTTGGTTTTGGGGCTATATTTGCAAAGCACATGCAAATTCAAATGCTCTTTCTTTTTTCTTTGTATATGAGTCCGTAGACATATATATTGCTATACTTTTATCCCGGGCTCAAAAGTCAACCCCAAGATCAAAATCGTAAATTTGACACCAAAATTAGTTTACCAATAAGGTCAAGAGCTTATGCGCCAAAAAAATTATGGAAATCTGAGCACTAATCGATCCCCAAATTGAAGAAACATCAATATTCAACTCTAGGTATTAAAAGCCCAAATTTATAATCAATTTTGAATGTGAATACCAATGACCCCCTCCTTTTTTGTGAACACGAACACGGAGAAGTTACTGGCACTAGAAGACAACAAAACCAGAAAAATCAAACTTCAACCAAAACTTCAATCCACTCCTTGGAATTCTCCGGAACCTTCCAGACGCAAACCAAATATACAGATTGACGGCAAAACATGTTTTGGGCTTGTTGAATTCATCAAAACACCGATTTGAGGTCGTATTGACAATTCAAACCTAATTTTCTAAAATGCTAGAATCCATCCAATGATCCAAATCACTCTTGAGGTTTGACAGATCCAAATCACATGTCAAACCTACTTTTCCTCCCTCAATTGTTGGCAACCTGCGCTTTTTCTCAGTTCTTCGCCGTGATTTTCCAACTCTTCTCTTAATATGACATTGCCACCTCTGTGTATTTTGGTACTGTTCTAGTTTCATCATTTTTGAATAAACTAGTATGACTCAAGAAGGTATACGATTCTCTTTTCCTCTAATCACTATTGCCAATCGATTTTTATCTAAACTGTGAACACCCCTAGTTACTATTATCAATCACTATACCATAAGATACTATGCACAATCAACATCATCGGTCAACACCATTCCAAATTGACAAATAATCACGGCTGAACCCATCGGTGGCCCCTTAAAGTTGGCACCAACTTTCACTTAGACACCTCAACTAAGCTTTATTCATTTTAGACACCTCATGTCATGTCACTGTGTCATTTTGACACTTTTTACTGAATTGACAAAGTGCGTGTGTTGCACTAATTTTAAGTGCGTGGAAAGCATTTTTTGTGAAAAATAATATTTTTTTCTCTTCTTCTCTCTTTCTCCTTCACCTTCCATCACCATTATGTACTGATTTTGAGTAAAACAAAAAAAATAATACACTCATTAAAAAAGATTTAAAAAGAATCATAAACTGATTGAAATAATTTATAAAAGCTATTTTTTAATAAAAAATTCAGATCTAAAAAATAACAACACCATCTTGTCGAAAAAGATGGAGATCCATCATATTTGTTACTATCTTTGTCACTCTCTCCCCCTAGCTTCTACCAAAATATATTTTATCTATAATTAGAATTATTAGTCATAAAAGAAAATATGAGAAGTCATTGAAAAAAAAATGGATCCAAGTCTTCTCAATTTTTTCGGCGGAACAACAATTTCCGGCGAAATTTTTTTTAGATCTTAGTCATTGAAACGACTTCCTAGAAAATGAAATCTTTTTTTATTGATTTTTTAAAATATAAGTTTATATATTTTTTCTTTCTTCTACTTATAATTAAATTTTACTTTTTTTTACCCAAATTGCCACATGTCTTCTCTTAATTTATTATCATGTCATCCCGCGAGGGTATAACACACATTTTGTAACTTTTGTTGATTGTTAAAAAAGTGTCAAAAATGACACAGTGGGGCATGACATAAGATGTCTAAAATGAACAAAGCTCATTTGAAGTGTCTAAGTAAAAATTGGTGCCAACTTTAGGGGGCCATCGATGAGTTCAGCCAACAATCACCATCGTTATTCATCACCACAAACAATTAGGATTGCTTATCGGGCAGATCAGGCGGATAATTTCGCTTAACGATTTGGCTATCAGATCGGTTTTTAAATTTACTAACTCGTTTGCCAAACAATAAGATATCGATTTGTTCGATAACGGATTAACAATTATCGGGCGGTGTATTGGGTAACATCTACCTTTTTTTTTCATGAACGCACCTTAAAAAGAGGAATTCTTTTCAATATTTTAAATGCAGTTAAATTATTAAATTCTTCTATATTGCAAAAAATATATAGATTAATAGTAATATAATAGTTAATACAATATAAAAAGTAAATAGTTGTTTCAATTTTTGTCTTTACGACTTTAAGACTAACAATATAGAATTGTATATATGGCAAATTATTAAAAGAGACTAACATATCTAAGATAAACGTATAAGTATGGTAACTCTTAACGGGTTAACGGTTTATTCTATAAGGAAATTGAATAATTTGCCCCCACACCAATAAGCCGTTAATTATAAAATTTTAATCCGTCCACCAATCATTTATTCAATAACCCAATACGAATAAGCCAATAAGCCAATTTTACGGTTGACTTATCAATTACGGATCAATTTTGAACACCACATACCATCAATCCAAATTAAAATTTTAAAATATTTTATTCATATGATATTAAATTAATTTAGTATTTTTATTTAATTTTATATTTATTCTTTTCTAAATAAAGACAAAATTTTATAGAAAACAAGCTATATTAATATTTAATATTTAAACGTTTTAATGGAAATGAAAACAAATGAGCCTATGCAAACCCAAACCAAAAAATCCCTAAAATCTAGGGTTTCACCGTGGCATTTTGCTCGCGCTCATTTGCTTGGCAACGTGCGCTTTGTCACTGCAGTAACGTCTTCTTTGCCGGGGCATTTCACTTTTCTCTTAATACGGCGTTGCCACCTCTGTGCATTTTGGTACTATTTTTTGAATCAGACACAATTTTTCAATCAGCCAGCATGACTAAACAAGGTATAAAATTCTCTGCATTTTTTTGGATTATAAATGTTAAGCCTAATAAGATTATTTTAACTTATTCTAGAATCTAGTAAAAGAGCTGCTGTGGAAGGGGAAAAAGAAGATATAATCATTGCTCTGCCGAGAAACGTGGTCGATCTTATCCTTGAGCTCTTGCCTGTTCACGATGCAGCAAGAACTAGTATTTTGTGTAGTAAATGGAGAGATATTTGGGTCTCACTTCCATTTCTAGGGCTAAATAACTATTTTTGCAAAAAGTTAACAGCAAAATCTGCAAATTTTTTTAGAATAACAGTCGATGAGATTCTGTTACAGCATGTTGGAGACATTGTGAAGTTTGTTCTTGACGTTTCAGGAATAAATTTGTCTTCATATGCTAGTATTAATAGATGGATGCGTTATGTCACCAAAAATGGTGTCAAGGAGTTAACTGTTAATATGTCGGATAATAAAATTTATATACTGCCTTCTTATGTATTTAACTGTCCGACCTTGACACATTTGGAACTCTTCAACTGTGTCTTCAAACCACCAATTCATTTTCTTGGCTTTCGGAATCTTACTTATCTTCATCTAGAAAGAATAACATTTGTGCCAACCAACCAGTTTTGTGTTATCGATGTTCCCCTTCTTGTGGATTTAGTCTTGACGTTCTGTTGTGGCACTCAATACTTGAAGATGGTTTCACCACAGTTAGAGTCCTTGGTTGTTCTTGGGGGTCACTATCTCGTGCTAAATTGCTTCATGAATTGCAAAAAAATGAGCGTGTTGGTGATTGAATTGGAAAAAGTGGAGGATAATCCAAAACATGATGAAATATCAACCTTGGAAAAGTTTCTATTTAGCTTTCCTTCACTTGAACAACTTTGTTTGGGTTCCTTGGTCCTTGAGGTAAGAAATCTACACGTTGTTTCACTTGAATTGGAAAAAGTGATTGATTGTATTCATCGGATTCTAATTATAGTACTTGACTGAAAGCTTTTGAATGCAAATATAGTTCTGGATGAGCTTCCTCCCAAGCTCAACTGCTTGTGGTATCTGCACTTAGGAGTTGATTTCAATAAAGTGGATCAGACTTCTTGTGCTGTACAGTTAATCAAGAGTTTTCCTAATTTGAGTAAACTTCAGATTACGGTAAGAAATAGTACATATATGTTGTCGTGCAATGGTATAATTATTACTTGGTTTCATGTTTGCTCTTCATTTATTTGAACTTGAGAAGCTAAAATGTCTTGGTATTTCTTTATACATTAGGTCCAGGATGGCGATGACAATGCTGAAACAGTTATGAAATATCTGGAGACACCAACCTGCTTGAATAGACCACTTAATAAGCTTGAGTATGTGACCATCAATTCTTTTCAGTGTTCAAAAACTGAAGTGTTTTTTGTAAAGCTATTATGTGCTTGCACTCCATCTCTTGTAAGGATGTACATTCAGCAAGGGATAGCCATTGATTCCAAGGAAGAAAGGAATATCACCATAAAATTGATGCGTTTTCCCAGAGCTTCCACATGGGCAGAACTGTTCTATTTTCCATTTGAGGCTACGAACGCAGACTGATGCCCCTGTTCTCAATGAGTTTTGTTAAACAAGGTACTGAATTGGCCAATTACGTAAAGCGTGTGGTTTCTGTGTCAATGTGTGTGATAAGATTAAAAGTTTTTGTATGCATATTTAACTACCTGTTTGGTAACTAAGGATGGTATTTGACAGGAAGTTCATACAATGAAAATATTTCCTGTTGGTTGTCTGGTTAGAGGCATTAACACCTGTGTTTTTTGGGATGGTGAGTTAGCAATTGCAAACTGGTTCTAACCAAATTGAATGTATTCACATTTTTATGTAGAGGTTTTGTTTCCTATTGCTATGTTATCACAATGTTGAAGATGCTGGCTTTACTTTATTATTACCAGTGGAGTTTGAGTGATATAGACCATGAATTGCAGGGAAAAATTCTTGGTTTTGGGGCTATTTTGCAAAGCACATGCAGATTCAAATGATGCTTCCTTTTTTTCTTTGTATATGAGTCCGTAGACATATATATTGCTCAAAAGTCAACCCCAAAACTTCAAAGCACTAGAAGTCAGAAGAATGCAAAACTAGCAAAATCAAGCTTCAACCAAATCTTCAATCCACCCTATGGAATTCATTTGGAACCTCTCGGATACAAACTAAATATGCAGAATGATGATAAAAGACGTTTCGAACCTGTTGGAATCATCAAAATACCTATTAGTGGTTGTTTTGACCAAATGTTGATCGAGGTTAAATCTAACTTTTTTCAAAATATTTGAATCCATCCAATGATCCAAATCACTCTCCAGACCTAATAGATTGTCAAGATTCAAATCTGACCTTGCTAACCCAAAATGTTGACTTTGGTCAAACTTTCCAAAAACCTAACTTCCAAGAAAGAAAATCTTCTTCGAAACTCATCTGATCACCTTGGAGATCGTGTCACCCTTCTTGAGAAGTCGTAAAAGGCATAATGAAACTACGAGAAGGGTCAAAACTTGAAAACACAAATGACCACGAGGGTCATTACAATTCTCTTCGTTTCTCCTCATTGAGTTTGTATGTTTCATGATTGATCTACTCGAATATGCCATTAACTTCATCCGGATCTTTAGATTCTATCTATCAATGATGTGTAAAACTCCCTGATATATTTGGGGATCTTGCATTACTCGAACAATGGCCATATTAGTTGTTGTGTATTCATTGAAGTACTATGGTAGGATAAACCCATATAAACATAGAACAATAAATAAGCTGCAACTATTGTTGCAGTTGATCACTCTTAAACTTGTAAAAAGTTGAACAAGTAGACACACGCGTTCTAGATATCAAAAGATGGATACAAAAGCGCAAAACACTTGGTATCAGAGGAGACCACAGTCATATTGAGTATGAGCATTTTGGTTTCTGAAGAAAATGGCCATCACAGCAACGACGACAATTTTTGTGAGCATTGGTCTATTCTCAATAAGAAGGGCAGTCAGATAAGATTGTGTTGCTAGTTTTACCACCCTCATTTTCCTCTCTTTTATATACCGATCCAATGCCTCTTCATGATCAAAACAACTTCCGTTAATCGTCTTTGCCAAGTTTCTTCCAAGCACCACTGCATCTTCTATTCCTGATGAACCTCCCTGCCCAAGGAATGGACCCATTACATGCATTGCATCTCCAGCAACCGTTACTGTTTTTTCCCGAAAATTTCCAAATACTAAGTCCCATGGTGCGCGATATTTCAAGTGAGCAAATGACAGAGAATCCAAGTCACATTTTTCTATCATTTCTTGTACATCAGCTGGATGACCACTTACTGCCTCCATGGCTCTTTGTTTGATAAATTGTGTATCTTGTGGAAACTTGGCATCTGAATGTGCACAAAATCAATCAGACGATACAGAAAACAAGATAGATGGACACAAGACGGAGATAAAATTCATTTGTGGGATCATGAAAAGTATCAAAATTGAAGTCACATTATAACAAAAGGCATCAAATTGGATTACCATACCTGTGCCCTGTTGAACAGCAACAAACCAATGTACCAACTTATCAGTGATCGGTAGTCTCCCAACTGCGGTTTGGCCAATGATGAGACGGGCAAATTCGAGAGGAAATGAGTGACCATTGGGATAACTTGTTAAACCCCTGATTGCACAATTCCGAAATGTTTTTGCAGGCTTTAATCCAAGGAAACTTGCCACTATTGACCTCCATCCATCACACCCGATCAAAACCTGCAACGATCACTCAAACATAATGTAATCAACTTCTATTTTATTGAGCCACCCTTACCACCAATACATCAGAAATTTTCACTGTCAAGGGAATTCATAAAAGAGGACAGAGCAAATAGAGAAAGAATACCTTAGCACCAATACGCTTTCCATTAGAAAGTAGAAGACTCGGTAAGAAAGTGATAGGATCCATTTCTACAGACACAATATCGCATCCAAAACGTATAGTATTTGGAGGCAAAGCATCAGCAAATGTTTCGACTATATCACTCCTCTTCAGACAACGAACCTCTCCGATATTCCTATATTTTAATAACACCGTATAGAGTTACTGTTTACTTTCTCTTCTTTCAAGTGTAGAAAAAAATGAAATTGACATCGATTTCGATTTGAATTTGACTTACTTGTATGGTGTGAATTTTTCATTGCCCTTGTCCATCCATGTAATTCGCATCCTGTTTGATATACTATAAAGTTAACAAGAGTACTAGAGTAGAAAAACTAGAGAATTAAAAGGCACAACACATAAAAATACCCTTTAACTTGACCTCATTTCATATTTATGTCCTGCAATTTTGGGTGTGCACAAGTAGACACTTAAATTTGTATAAAGTTGAACTAACAGACACACGTGTCCTACATGACAATTTGTGTCCTACGTGTATTATGTCACATAGAGGACTCATGCAGAGGCGTATCCAGAATTTCGGCTAGATGGGTGCACGATTACGAAAAATGTATCTTAAATATAAATTTGATCGATTTGACTTTTAGTTTGTAATATGAACCATTAAAGTTTAAAAATTATAGGTCCAAAATATATAATACTACTAGTTTTAAATTTTAATATACACATTTGATTTAATTATATAAAAAATTTACAATGCTAAATTTTTTAGGAATTCTCAATGTAACACACTTGAAAATTTTGAAACAATAAAGGAAAAAAACAAAACAAAAATTAGTTGAAACGACAAAAGTGTAACTGATAACCACTTGGAAAAGTGTTACTCAAAGAGACAAGATAGATATAAGATTTAAATTTTTATCTCTCACTTAGAGAAGTGCACCCATCATTATCGCATTATTATATGATACTTTGAACATGAGTTCACACATCTATATTTAAATATTTTTAAAAATATATAACATTACTATATATGATCTAGAGAGGGGAGCATGGGTTCACGTGAACCCACGGCACCCCCTCTAGATACGCCTCTAGACTCATGTGTCTGTTTTTTCAAGTTTATACAGGTTTAAGTGCCTAGTTGTGCATATTCAAAGTTGGAGGGCATAAATGTGAAATGAAACCAAGTTAAAAAGCGCATTTATGCGTTATGCCGAATTAAAATGATGTAAAGATTATATTACCCTTGAAGAGGAAGAGCAGTAGTTCTTAGATGAGAAGCCACACCAAGTTGATCAAGTGCCTTCCATCCATTAGGCAATACACCTATGGCTGCTCCTGCTGATCTTAAAGTTTCTGATTTCTCTAATACCACACTCTTTATCCCTTTCCTGCATTTGGTTTTATATATAAATTTATACAAATTCTTTCTTCAATAAACTAAGTAGACGTTTTGGACCTACCATTTTTTCTCGTAACTTAAAATCAGAGATGAAATGATCGTTTGGACATGCATGAGATGAAATCCAATTTTTTTTTTTAAAAAAAAAACTTAGATTTAGGAATTTCATGTCATGAATTCATATTTTTCAAATATAAAAATTGACCAACAAGTTTATATTTTATTTTTAAAAAAACTACAATTTTAACATTTATTTCATCTGTAAACAAAATCTATAGTTGATATTGTTACTCTTAGCAACCATTAAACCATCTATATCAGGTATAACAACTACTCTCACCACTCTTATTGAATTACAGTTCGATGAATAAATGTTGTATTTTTAGAATAATTTTATAATCATTTGCTTATTTAATATGATATAAATTTTGTTTGGATTTTTAAGTTGTATTTTTTGTTTATAAACATAAAGCTCTCTTATACTTGTATTTTAAATTTATATCATAATTTCGAGGCGGAATTACCCGAGACACCCTTATACTTGGCTCCATTTGCAAGTTGGGCCCTTATACTCATGACTTTATCAACTGAACCTAGGGGTGTACATGGCTGGGTTGGTTCGGGTTTTTCAAATATCAAACCAAACCATTTGTGTCGGATTTTTAAATCTATAAACCAAACCAAACCAATAAAACTCGGGTTTTTCAACTTCGGGTTTTTTCCGGAAAAATATTCATACAAACATATAATTTACTTGTACTTCAAATATTTCTTTAGTCGTACCAAAATACAACTATCTAAGGTGTTTCTTAAGAAAATAACACAAAATATTATATGAGTAATGATACTAAAATATCCAACAAAAAATAATAATAATAATGAAATCGCGTAAAACAAATATTGCAAATTAACAAGTCATAATGAAAATGATCATAATTTAAAAGAACTAAATCATGCTAAAATAAGTTTAATAAGTATTAGTTACATGACTAAATATTAAAGGAAATTAAAATTAGATTATGTATTTGAATAAACCAATGTAAAACCATAGAACAAATATTCAATATTATTGTCATTCTTAGTGTTGAATTGATTATTTTTTTTGCTTTAGTATTAATTTAATTTTGATTTAAGCTTTATTATAATTACCAATATCTGTGGACTATAATCTTTATTGAACCATTTAGAATTCTAAGTTTCAAACTTGAAATAATAATTTATTAAAAGATAAAAACTAAGAAAAAGTATAAGAAATATTTAAAAATTATATCAAAGTAAATATTTTTAAGTATAAAATAAAATTTTAAAATTATATATATAATGTCGGGTTGGTTTGGTCTCGGGTTGGTTTTTTATTATTAAAACCAAACCAACCCAAATATAGTCGGGTTTTTTTTTTCCAATACCAAACCAAGTCAAACCAACCACTAGTCGGGTTTTTTTTTCTCGATTTGCGGTTTGGTTAGATTTTCGGCTTGGTTTTGTACTCCCCTAACTGAACCCTTAAACACAATAAAACACAATATTTTAAACTTTTTTCTCGTTCTATCCTACGTGTGAGATTTTGTACACTTGTTTTACACGTGGAATTTCACTTCATTTTAGTGACACATAAGATATTAAATGTTAAAAAAGAAAAAAAAATACTTTTGCAGAAATATTAAACATTATGTTATATTTGCTCTCAAATTGAAAGCCAAATTCATACCAAATAGATGAAATTCTTGTCTATTTGACTTGAATTTTACCCTACAAACACAAACCCAACAAATTCTCATCACAATTTTAAATCAATTTCATAAATTCACAAAATTCATTTAGTGTTCTTCAAGCTTCCTCAAACTGATCAATGAAATTTTTCAATACCGAAGTTTGGTTGGGTGATGGTGTTAAGAAGGAGGAGAGCTTTTATTATTACTATTTTTATTATTATAGCTTATTTCAGTTTTTTTTTTTAAAAAAATAATATTTTTTTAATGTATAATATTTTAAATTTATTTGCTTTGACACATTTTATCAACTCAGCAATATTAGTGTCGCATAAATTTGATCAGGGGTCAAAAGTTAAAAATATTGTGTTTCAGTGAGTGAGAAGTTTAATTGGCAAAATCATAAATATATAAAAACCAAAGTTTACATATGGAATCAAGTACAGAGTCCCTTGTATCATACTACCTGATTTCAAATCATGATTTCATCTCACTTAACGAAATAAATCTTAAATATTGAAATGATGAAGTTAGTCTAGCACAGTAAATTAAGATTCTGGTCTGAAAGGGCGTGAATTCACATCTCACTCCCAATATTTATATCTTAGTTAATTATTACTTGTCCATAGAAAGTAAAAAAGAGGAAGAAAAACAGAAGTAGAGAGAAAAGAACCTGTGCAAAGCAAGAGCTGTGGCAAGTCCACAAAGGCCTCCACCTACTATCACTATCTCCTGAATTTCATCACAACCACTTGACTCCATCTTAATTATTTTTCTCTTTTCTTTGTGACTGTTTGATAGGAAGTGATTGCTTGGATCTGACTATATATTAAAAAGAATAATGTTATTTAAGTAACAAGTGGAGTAGAAAAGGAAATGGCCAAGAAAGGGTTGAATACTTTGCAAAAAAAAAAGTTTGACCATATTTAATTCCTGTCTCTCTAGGACCCAAATAGCATGACAACATGTAAGGGGGACACACTGTTTTACTCAATTCTATCATTAGGAATTGTAGTAGTACTTTGGAATTTTTAAAGTCATAATATATGAATATGTCTTTTAATTTGATTTTAATAATTTAATTGATATTTATGTTTTTCAGTTTTTGATTTTTGAATGTGCATAAGTAGATATTTAAATTTGTCTAAAATAGAATAGGTAGAAAGACATACTCCCTCCGTCCCATTTTATGTGGCAACATTTCCTTTTTGGTCAATCCCAAAAAGAATGTCACATTTCTTTATATGGAAAGTATTTAAAGGTACAATTCCTTTTTTATCCTTGTTGGTCCCACTTAATCTTAAAATAATACTCCAATACATTTATGAGGAGAGAGAAATTGAGTCTACTTTTTAAAAGGGCAATTTGGTAAACATTTCAAAGTCTTCATTTATTTTTTAAACTCCGTGCCCGGTCAAATGTTGCCACATAAAATGGGAGGAGGGAGTATTATATTCCTATACATGACATAATACACGTAAGATGCCTTATAGAACACAAAATTATCATGTAGGACGCTATGTAAGACGAATGTATATATTTATTCAATTTTATACAAATTTAAGTATCTACTTGTGTACACTCAAAATTGAACGACATAGATGTCGGATGAAGTCAAGTTGAATGGCACATTTATGTATGGGAAAAGGGTATGATATACCCTAAAATTTGTTATTTAGAATTGATATATATTTCGTTACAAAAGTGACTTACATATACCATTATAAATTAGCTTACATATACCTATATCATTACAAAACGACTCACATACACGTTTTTCATCTAACGTACATAAGTGAAAAAATAATTTTAAATTTATTTTTTTTAAAATCCATTTAAGAATATATATAATCTTTTCACACAGGAATTATTTTTTGACTTCTTTATCATTATTTGAGTTTCTTATTCTTATTTTATTTTTTTCTTTCATTCTTTAGTTAAAAAATATAAGAAATAAAAAGAAAGAAGTGTGAATGAAAAAAAATTAAAACTAATATTTTTTTGTGCCTATATTGTAAATTTCAAATTATTATTTTTTGCGGTTATATTTAATTTAGTTTTTGTATTTGTAAATTTTTTGGGGGGCATCCATGATAAATTTTACAGGAAAATAAGTAAGAAAATAAATTGGACCATTAAAATAATAAATTCAAATTAGTTTTTGAGTCAAACAAGCAAAAAAAAGGGAAAATTGTATATAATAGCAAACTATTAATTTAAATTAAATGCTATAACCATAGTTTGATTTAATTGTACCCCATAGTAAATTGTTTCTATTTCGCCTCTCTCCCTGGTAAATCTCGCTCGCCACTCTCGTTCTTGCTAGGCAGTCTCCCTCGCCTCTCGCTTTTGTACAAACACAAATGTATAAAATGTGTTTGTATTTGTATAAAGCGAGAGAAAATTGTATGTATACATATATTTTCGTTCCCCTCTCTCCCCTCTCCCAGATCTCGCTCGCCACTCTCCTAGATCTCGCACGCCACTCTCACTTTATACAAACACAAATGTATACATTGCGTTTGTGTTTGTATAAAGCGAGAGAAAATTGTATATACAAATACAAATGCATATATTTTCGTCCTATACACTTATGATTATACAAATACGATCTTCCCCTGCCCAATTTTCTTTTGTCTTTCTCTCTTTCTCGCTTTATACAAACACAAATTATACAATTGATTCTTTTGTATATGTATAACGAAACAGATTATACAATTGCTTCTTTTGTATATGTATATCGAAATATACATATTAATAATCATAGCAAACATAAAGTTTGCTATGGAGCGCAATTATGCAAACTATTGTTCAAATATGATTTTTATGTTTGTTATATGTGAAAGTTGCTCAAAAAATGCGTGAGAAGGATCAAATATACCCTTACATGGATTTTTTTAATAAAAATTAATTTAAATTATTTTTTTTCACTTTCATTTGAGGAAAAGTATATATGTGAGTCATTTATATAACAATTATATATGAATCACTTTTATAACAAGGAATAGATAAACCCGAAATAACAAAATTTAAAATTATATCAAACCCTTTCCCGTCATGTATTGTGCCATTTTCAAAGTGAATTATTTCAAATGCATGCTGCATGTGGTAACGTTCAGTACTTGCACTTGCACATGTAAATAAAATCGAGAAGAATCTATCTATCTTCTTCCAATAACAAGAGGAAGTTGCTCAAATGATAAGCATAGAAAGTTCTATGGAGGGAGTGAATTAAAAAAAATTCTCAGAAATTTTATTTCAATAGTGGTATCTAAAGGTGTTCAATTTGATTTTAACTTTTTATTTATCAAATTAAATCAATTAGATAGGTTCTTAAAATTCATAAAGAAAATTAAATTACGTAGAATTTCGCTTTTAACTCTGATGTAATATTTTAACTCTAGTCTCCATACTTTATTCAAAAATAATTTTATTTGTCCGTCTGATTTGAATAGAGCATAGACAGCCTATAAAATGAATATTTAATTAGCATGATAGTACATATGACAGACCTATTAATAATTCAAAAAATATCTCTTTTATGTTAATTTATTTATCATACCTTTTACGCTGTTTACAAAAATCGTCCTTTTTCTTTTTAGGTAATTTTTCAATTTAATTATTTTATATTACATATTTAAATATATGGCATATAAATAAAACGGAATTTAAGAATATTTTTTGCATTTAGTGTTAAGTCAAAATATACATTAAAACGGAAGGAATAATTAATTGATAAAAGAAATTGCTATCCAATATAATATTGTTTAGTAATTAAATAGAGTTATGCTCATATTAGTTATACAAGTATGAATTACATAAAATTTAGTTATGTAGAATTTAGTTACATAGATATTTAACTTGGGCAAGACGTATTCTAATAACATTAGATGGTTGTGACGGTCTTCATTTCCAATATAATATTACACCTACTTCTTGTTTTCCAAGAAAGTTTTACCAAAAAACTAAAATATAATACCACTTAAATAGCTAACGGTCAACAATATTTTATTAAAATATTTAGGTTATAATTCTAGCATATCATTTGCACCGACTTGACACTACATTTATTAGTTCCTCCCTCTCCTTTTGTTCTAGCTTATGTTTTACTGTTTGAATTTTAAGAGTTAATTTTATTTTAATGATGTATTTAAGTGTGAAATTTTTAAATTTTTAATTTTTTTTTACATAGTTGAAAATTATGTAAAGAGTAATATAAGTTACAATGATTAATGAATCAAGATATTTGAAAATTATATATAAAAAATAATTAAAAAAAAACTTATTTAAATTTGAGATTTAAAAAGTGTCACATAAATTAAGACAAACCAAAATACTTTATTTCAGGCAAATCAAAAAGGCTCTTACATAATCGAAATAACGCATTGATTACATAGAAATTTCTTGGCTGTTACTATTTAAAGGCACATATCATCTACGTATGCAATGACATAATAGGGAGAAACAGAGGCGGAGTTAAGTGGAGGTTTGTGGGTTCGGATGAATTCAGTAGTTTTTTTGTAAATTCTATATTTGTATTAAAAAATTAAATAAATATATATGTATATTAACTTGTGAATCCCCAAATAAAATTGATTGATGACTTAGTGGTAAGAAAGAGGTAGTAAACATGTTTTCCACACTAGTGTTGTGAATTCGAAGTCCACTAAATCAATAAAAGTTTCTCCTTTTTAAAAAATAAAACATGTTTTGTTATATTTTTCTCCTCAATTGCAAAATTTAAAACCATAAACTCTTAATTCTAACTCTGAGTAGAAATTCTAATTCATATCTTGCCCAAATATGAACAAGAAAAACTGGTAGTTTTCTTTTGTAATGACAAAGTAATTAAGTAAATATAATTTGCAATTGAAATTATTTTTTACTCAAGTGTTTTTTTGTATGTGATTTATTTTTCTTCATAAAATTACTTATTTTTGTAGGAAAAGATTTCCTAAAAAAGGTTTTCCAGTTGATGTTTGGTGGGAATTGAAAAATATTTTCCAAGAAAATATTAATTAAATAGGATTATGTTTTGATGAATTTTTTTAATGATGACATTTGTGTTGGTTTATAAAGATGGACATTCAGTTCGGTTTTATCAAAGTTTGATTTGATTTTTCAATTTTCAATTTTGAAAAAGTGTGTATTGAACACCAAACTAAATTAGTTCGGCTCAATGTTTTTAAAATGATTTTTTGATGTAAATGAAAAAGTAAAATGAGAACCAAATCAAAATATAAAATACTTAAAATTTTAAAATCTTAAAATCATGTTAAATGATACTTTAAAACTGACTTGTTATAGATGGTTTAAATGCTTGTTAGACTTTTGCTTTTTGGTTAGGGAAATGCTAATATGTGAAAATAATTATTTAATAAAAAATTAATTCTTCTGTGTGCATCTAAGTACCAAAACCCTTATACCAAAAGAATCAATCTTTTTTTAAAAAACACCCAAATCAAATTAGTTTGATTCGATCCAATTTTTCGGTTTTCGATATTCATGCCCACTATTATTAGTTATATCATCAGAGATGTGAAGTTAAAATTTGAGATAATTGAAAGGGAAAATGACTTCCATCCAAAGGTCGAAAAGTCATTACCCCCTTCAGTGAAAAAAATATTTTATAACAGTGAAACAAATAAAAATAACTTATTTTTTTGCAAAAATAATAATAATTCTCCAGGCCAGACGATATATACACCAAATGACGTAATACTTCAGTATGAAAAGATTAATCTACTGAAGCTATCCATTGATTATTTATCTGTGTTTGGAACAACACATCTATCTAATATCTATTGTAATTAAGGGTGTGTTTGGTAGGAAGAAAACTGTATTTCATGGAAAATATTTTCTTGAAAAATAAGTGGATTTCTAGCTTATTTTCTCATGTTTGGTTGGTGAGTAGAAAAAAATTGGAAATTTTTTTGGTGTTTAGTTGGTGAATGAAAAAAATAATTTTATTCTAGAGAATAGAAAATAATTTTTAGGAAAATAATTTATGAACCGAAAACCAGCCCGATAATCGATCTATGACTCGACCTTGAACCTCGAAATAGGACACGACCCTGACAACGTTCCAAAATTTGACCCTGAGATCTGACCCAAGACCTGACCCCGACTTCCAACCCGAGATACAACATTCAAACTAAGACCAAACCCCAACACGCGAACCTGAACACAATCCTGACGACCAATTCGAGATTCAATCCCGAAAATCGATATGGGACCCAACTTCTGATCAGGACCCGACTTGACTCAACTTCTGACCCAAAATTTGACTTTTAAATCAAAATTCGACCCCGACTTGTGAATCGGTACCTGAACACATCCGACTTAGAACCTGACTTTCAAACTGGGATTTGAATTTTTTTTTAAAAATAACTTTTATTTTTTTTTATTAAAAAACAATTATTTGTATTTTTCTTAGGGGGGGGGAGGAGGGGTCAGGGTAGGGGGATTAAAAATGAAATTTTCAAAATTTGAAATACTTTTCAAAAACAATTTTTAAGATTTTTTATGTGGGGGGAGGGAGAGGGGTAGGGGTGGTCCGGGGTTGAGTGAGGTAAAAAAAAAATCTTAAAATTTGAAATATTTTTCAAAAATAATTTTCTAAATTTTAAGTTTTTTTATTTGGTGGGAGGGGGGTTGGGGGCTGATTTGGGGCATGGGTAAAAAATATTTGAAATTAACAAAAAAAAAATTGGATGGGAAGGATCAGAATACGGGGTAAGGTAAGAAAAAAATATTGTAATTTAAGGCTAGAATAGAGTTTTGGAAAAAAAATTTCTTCATTTTTAAAGGGAAGTCATTTTCCTTAAATTTGAGAAAAATAAATTGATTTGAAAATATTTTTCAAAACTTTAAGTCAACCAAAAATGGAAAATTGAAATATTTTCCTTCATACAAAACACACCCGAAATGACAGTAGCTACTCAAAAGCTAAGTTCAAGGCAAATTCTCAAATCTTTTACCTACATTCTATGTGAAAGAGTCTTTGCTTACACCAACTCAGTACATAATTGGGATGCCATTGCAACTAGATATGCCAATTGTTAATAGGAATAGTGTTATGACCCACCACGTTATCATAATGCTTGGGAACTATGTGGTATAAAGTTGTCTAGGGGTGTTCATGGTTTGGTTGGGTCGGTTATTGGTCAAAACCAAAATCAAAACCAAACCAACTTAATCGGTTTTAAAATTATCAAAACCAAACCAAACCAAATATAATATACATTTATCGGTTTGGTTGTTTTCGGTTTTGGTTTGGTTTGGTTCGGTTATTTAGTTATTAACCATACATAAAAATAAAATAAACAATTCATTCAAAATGTGAAAAAAGTGACAACAATCCATTCAAACAAAAAAATAGTTAGAATGACTGGCATTATAGAACTTTCGATCATTGAATTTACTGAATAAAACTTCAAAATTCACTATTTTGGCATAGAAGGAAGAGACAATGACATTTTTAGTCCCACAAAGAATTTTCATAGACACTCATATACATGAAATCAATAAGAAAAATGTTCTCACCTTGGACATTTTTTCTTTCATAAGTAAATTATAAAAATAAATTTTGATGAAACATATATAAAATCTTTAAAATTGTTTATGAATATAATATGTTATGTATGTATAATAATAAAATTTATGTATATAACTTGTTGGTTCGGTTCGGTTATTTCTTCGATTTTTTTCAAACGAAACCATAACCAAACAAAATACTATCGATTCTTACCAATCTAAAACCAAACCAAACCCAAATTAAATCGGTTCATTTAATTGGTTTGATTTGATTTTTCGATTTGGATCGATTTTTATCCAAACCATGAACACCCCTAGTTGTCTATGTAGAAGTTTACATAGGAAAGAGAGCTCCTAGGGGAGGGTAAAAAAAAACAGTCCTTAGTGAAAGATTCTAGAGAAATATGAAAATTTTTGATAGATCCTAGAAAATTGTAGATTTACATGAAAGGTCCTTAGAATATTCTAGACTTGTAGAGTATTCTAGAGAATGACTTATTTGTAAATATGCACAATATGATCCGAAATAATAAAGCCCATCTCAATGTTCATCCCCTCTAACAATCTTCTCGAGGTGGAGTCCTATATAACCCACATAAATTTAGTGAATATGCCATTATAATTCAAGTGATCAAATTAATTGTTACACAATTTAAATTACAAGTTAAATCTGGGACATAAAGAACATTCTTCAATCATAATGTTTCATTCAATTTCATTGAACCCCTTTTAGTAGCCACCGAGTTACTCCCGCCTAGTAACCCAATGGGACATTTCAAAATGTCCCATTCACCTTGCAACTTGTTCAAACTACTTGTCAAATGGTTGGTCACCCTGATGTCAATAATTCAAGACATATTTTTAATCTAACCATTCAGCTTGTCATTCATACCCGGTTACTGAGACTTCAACATTCCAATCAGGGGTAGCGTAATGTCTTTAAAAATGAGGCATCCGTCTTGGACCCTCAAATTTGAGGGGCTCCATCTTTTAGTAATAATAAAATTATTTTAAGTTTTTTTTAACAACAAAAAACATTATAGTGTTTTTTAGTTTATTTGTCTTATTTTTTTAGTTCATTTCAAAACATTAAACAATGTTTTTTTTTTGTCAATTTTAAAATTTAACTTCCACGTGACATGTTTAAAACCACAAAATTAAAAAATATTTTGGTATATATATATATCCATAGAAAAAATAAAGTTTTTTCAATAAAAAGAAGGAAATAACTTTGTATCTCAAAAGTAAAAAAAAAGTTAGCTCCAATTAATTTTTGACTTTAGGCAACTAATTAGTTTGAGCTGCCACTGATCCCAACCACAGTCATCCTTCATTACTTAGTTTGGGTGGTCCCAGTTGACATTCATCAGAGGTTTGATGTACTTTTATCCTTGGTCACAACAACATTGACCCAAAAATTGCCTCTTCACCGGCCTCCTCCCACCTCCTCCTAGACCTCCTCTTTGTTGTTGTAGTTGACCTCTTCCCTAGCCTCCTTCCCTTCCCATCGCTCCTTTGAAACCACTATTTCAGGTTACCAACAAGCTGATAGCATATTTCGGAGTCATGCCCATATTTCTTGCAATGTGAACAAACTCATACCAATTCTTATTTCTCCCTTCACCTTGATCACGGTTAGAGTATCCTTTTGTTCCAAGCAAATCCCTTTCACCTATTATTCATGTACCAACTTTGAATAAATTTTGTTCAAGGTCGACAACGAGTCCTGAGCCAGCAAGTTGGATCTTACTATTCCATATGTTGTCTCATATAATCCCACAAGGAAGAGATGTACTTTTCTTCTGTCTTGATTTCCAAAGTTGATCCCAAGTTGCACGTACACTTAACACTTACACACAAGTGGACATTGAGATATGCTCATAATTTTCCAATTCTTCCCACAACTTAGTAAGTTTCCTGTAGTAATTAACAATGGTCATGTCTTCTGTTTACACTCAACGACCATTGTTAATTACTAGGATCATTATCAGCCACAAATGTTCCCAAAAATTGGTTCAATGGTATTGTGAATCCATGCTACCAATAAAGAATTAATAGTCCACCAATCTTTAAGATCCAAAGATTCTTCGTTTGACTTTTTTATAGTTCCATCAATAAAGCCAAATTCATTCCTTGCCTGTAAGGCCATCCTCATGGATCTTTCTCATTCTTCATAGTTTTCACCCATCAATTGGACTGGTGTTATCACAATCCCAAGGTTATCAGTTGACGTGATGTCGTATGGAGAAATCGTCTTCCTTTGACTAATCTCCTCTTTTGCATCAATCCCTTTACCGTTTTCTTCGGTCATGATCACACAATGTAGGGTTTTCTATATCCTTATTAATATGGGTCTGACACCATGATAAAATCAAGGACGAAGAACAAAAACAAACAAGAGAACAATTATTGGAAGAATTTTCACGTGTCTTTTCTCATTAATTTAATGTTCTTTTGTTATTTCAAATAAACAATGTAATTCTAGCCTCATCACCAATGTACTCACTCCTCAGCAACAATGTTCCCATCTACCTGATTCCTCTTTCAATAGTTATATAGGTTTTTTGAGTTATATACACCACTTTGTCAAGATTTTCTTACACCATCAATGTATCTCTCATTGTAAAACATTGCCTTTTTAAGGTTATCAATTAATGTCTAATAAACCTAGAGCTGCTCTCTGAGTGATCTTTTGTTGTAAATCTTTTTTACAGGCAACAACGCATAACATTTATACTCGGTAGAGTATATCAGATCTCAGTTGCTTTCTAACAGGCAATGTCGTTTTACCCTCCAAATAAAGGGGGAAACGAAAAAAAGCAAAGAAAATCAAACAAACAAATTTTGATTAGATAAATAAAACTTCATCATATCCTCACCCCCAAAGCTGTGTTTCTACTTGACGACGCCATTTCCTCAAGTTATCAACCTTGTAATCATAATATGGCACATTTAAATTACCTTAATTTTACAGGCAAATGAGAAAAAAAAAACTTGTATTTTCTTTGGGGACGGGGGTGAGGGATAGAGCAACTCCCATCACTAAAATTTTCCCAAGTCGAAATCTCTTACAGGTGTAGAGACACAATACATCTTCGCTCAAGTAGGATGCTACTTGTATGGCCATTTTTGCTAAAGCCTTTGGTATTTGTTTTCTCAGCAGGACACCGATCCAAAGAATACCTCAGACGAACAAAAAGGAATCTCACTGTCCAGTATTACGGGATTGCAACCTCTTCCTCTCCAATTCAAGCTGAATGAAGAAACCATGATGAATGAATTCAAGTAACCACAAAAAAAGGATTAGTTTTTCTTTGATTTCAGAATATACACAAGTATCTTACCACTTTCCGCACTCTTTCATTAGCAGCAGGAGTGCCTCCAGCAACAGATTCGGGAAGGTATGGACTGCTAACACGCACCTCATTCATCACAACTATCACAGTTTTGTCCCAGCGCACAGGCAACCTGGTTACATGAACAGTGACATCAAATTTCACAGAAGATATCCTTGTCACCAAAACTGGGATCCTACATATGCGCAGCACAGTTTACATACTCGTACAAAAACACAGGAGACTGATACTGCAATGTCCTTTATACATAGTTTTCTTGATAGGTACTTCACTAATATGTACTTATTTTTATTTGATGACGAGAAACCCACAACCGCTATCCTTTGGGTGCGCATAGGGTAAAACTCCTGCTCCTATGCAATAGCTCGCAAACCACACAGGAAAGGTAACACACACTAGGCAATCCCGGTGCGACGAGCTCGACCCAAAAGGCAAACCCCTTGCCTTCGATGGCAAAGGGTTTCGAACTTGAGACCTCCAACATGGAAGTCCCAAGCCCAAACCACTGGGCCACCCCGAAGGATTAATATGTACTTATTATCATACCTCCATATTGTTTCAAAAGAACATAAATTGTAAATAAAATTTTGGATATTCGCTAGTCAAGGACAGAAATCCATTTCAATTACCTAGTTGGATGAATAATCCCAAGCTCTATGGATTGCTACGATCTATGTATCGTGTGAAACCTATTCTCAACTGTTATCCTTGCATCAGATTAAGCTTCCCTTTATATCTCATCTTTGGTCAGTGAAATTCCATTAATAAAATTTAAGAGGGTCATATGTCGACTTCCTTATAGCCGAATCAGCAAGGATATAACATGACCCACAAGAACTAATTTAGCCACTAAAAGTCTGAAATTGCCATTAGAATCTAAAACAAACACTTCTATAACGAGAACCACCAAAATGAATCAACAATTGATTTGTCTTCAGCCAAATAATATCCCAACTTTCTTCTCTCTATCAAAAAATATATATCAACTTCTTAATTTGTCATGGAATATTCGCAGATCAATTAACTTAGTATTTTAGTCCCAGAAAGCCAAATGTTATTCTCATGCTAACAAGTGACCCATGTTTTTCTTACAACTCAAGCCAGAGAACTCACACCTAGACACCACTTAGTGACAAGCTCAAACTACTTCAGCCAACATAAATGGGACAAAGTTGGGTGCCACAACCACAGCTTCTTCACTCCTGCTACTGCCACTCTGGAGTTCCCCTAGTAAACATCTGATATAAGCTCACTTCATCACAACAAATAAAAAAAAGAGAAGAGGAATCAATCCATAGATTTACCTAAGTCATTGTAGTTGTAAGGTGAATACTTTCTTTTTTGCCATTTTTCCATCTATACCATAATCTCAAACAGTAAATTCAATTACAGCCAGCTGGCACCAGTATAATGTGGGGTGGCGGGTGAGCTGTTAACTAGGTTAAGTTTGTTGGACCTATCAAGATTTAGGCCTAAATAGCGTACGACTTAATGACCTTCTCCTTCTTTCAACAGTTATTACGGAATTTCTAACGACAGGTAGCTCAAGATTTTTCCCTACCCTGCTCAGCAGAAGAAAAAAAAATCACTAGCACTTGGGCAAAAAAGGTGGAGATTTTAAGGATTTGAACAAATGGCTGGGTTAAATTGCAGGCCTTAAGCCTTAAAATATGGGAACAGCAGTGACAAAATTTGCTTCTTCCGGAACTGGCTATTTTTATGTTTTATGAGATTTCAAGCTGATAAATTGAGCGTTATCATATTTGATAGTGCGAACAATAAGTACGAAAAGAAGGAAGAGGAGATCAAAAAAGATATTGGAAGGTCACCAGCACTTAGAAGGATTAAACACCAAACATATTTCTTCATTTGCAATTTGAAGAAGCTACACATTTCCTAGGACTCAAACATAAACAAATAGAAAATTGCTCACTGCAATGAAGAAATAAGGTGGAGGCAAAGATCCAAGAATCCAGTGGCTGAAGTGGGGGGATAAAAATACTATCCTCATGACCTTTAAATTGTCTTTTTGGGAGATCTTGAAAGAGGATATTATAAAGGCTATACATGAATTCTATGCTAGACAGAAGACTGAGAAGAGCTTTAATGCTATTTTTGTAGCACTCATTCCCTAGAAAGCCGATGATGCAGAACTAAAAGACTTCAAGCCAATAAGTCTGATTACTGGAGTTTATAAGGTGATAACAAAATCACTGGCAAAAAGGTTAAAAAGGGTGATTGATAAGTTTGTCAACAAAAACCAAATGACCTTTATTAAAGAAAGACAAATAATGGATGCTGCTCTCATTGCAAGTGAATGTGTCGACTCCAGGTTGAAAGGGAACATCTCTTGGGTAATGTGCAAGTTGGACACTGAAAAGGCATATGATCATGTAAATTGGGGTTTCCTACTGAACACCTTGAGACAAATGAGTTTTGGGGAAAGATGGGTGGGAATTGGGATGGATAAAATTTTGCATAAGCATGGTGAGAATCTCCATTCTTGTAAATGGAGAACCTATGGGCTTTTTCTCTTTAGGTAGGGAATCAGATTGGGTAATCCTAAATCACCCTTTTTGTTTATCCTGGTAATGGATGGATTTGATAGTTTGAAAGGATTGGTACTCAGAACAGATGGATCATAGGTTTTCAGATTAGTAGAAACAATGGTGATATTAAGAGATCTGCCATCTACTTGATGCAGATGACATGGTGATATTAGATTCATCAAACAAATTTTATTGTTTTTTGAAGCTTTTGTAGGTTTGAAAGTTAATTGGGGAAAGAGCACTTCATATCCTATCAGGGATGTGACAAACATTCTCTACTGATATTTTGGGTTGCAAAGTGGAAAAATTGCCCACAAGATGGTCACATGCTGAAGGGGGGGGGGGGGGTAATTTTTTTGAAACATGATTAAAGAGACGAGAAAATGATCAAAATGGCCCTTCATGTATAGGGGTTGGATTATTTTGGTCCTTGATATATACCAAGTGATTGAAATAGTCCTTAATGTATGTAAAATGGGTATCATTTTGGTCCTAAACCCTAAATTTGACTATCCTCCGTTAAAAACTAACGTCCCCTTCCCAAGCTCATCTCCCTCTTCTCCTTCCCAAACTCATTTCTCTCCAATGCTCTGCCTCCCTTTCTGTTTCTCTTTAACTGAATCCTCTTCCTAAATTAGTTTATTTTCATTAAATCATCTCGTTTCATTTTTGTACTTTCTTCTATTTTCTGTTCATTAATTTCTAATATAGATAAATTTTACATTCCTATTAGTTTTTTTGCTACTTTTACACTGTCAACACTTCATCTTCTTTTACAAAATTTCAATGGTACTTAATTATTTGAGCAGTTTGTTCCATTTTCTGTTAATGATATGAATGACAATACTTTGGTTGAATTCAAAAAAATATATTTAAAAAGAGTTATCCCTTCAAGGACGATACACAGAATAAAACTTGAAATATAATGTTACAGAGCTGTAGCATATCCATGCTTATGGATAATACAACCACATAAGAAATTCTCTATTATTTTATTACTATTAATTTATAATCTTTTTTCGGTGAATTGAATGATTTATGAATTGGATTAGCTAATTGGTTAATTTAACAAAGGATGAAATCAATAGGTGAGGTTTTTATGCCCCTTCACTGAGTCTGGTGTATTTTCAGTATACCCACATAAGAAATTCTCTATTATTGAGGAAGAACATGCTCTGAAGAACCAGAGAGGAGCGGGCAAGGAGATGAGAGAGATGAGTGTTGGTATGGAACATTAGTTTTTAACAGAGGATAGTCAAATTTAGGGCTCAGGATCAAAATGATACCCATTTTACATACATTAAGGACTATTTCAATCAAATGGTACATATCAAGGATCAAAATAATTCAACCCCTAAACATGAAGGACCATTTTTCTCCAAATCTGGCAGCTTACTTATCTTATTGGTTGTGTGCTTTTTGTTCTTGTCAATAAAGAATGTCACTTCATTCGTCCAGGGACTTTCAAGATGGCAAGTGGGCAGAAGGTTAGCCTTGACGGCCTAAATGACATCTCATCTTCATCACAGCTTGATCAAATTAAAGTCTGCTTCTCCATTCTCTTTGTTTATGGTTGGCTTGCTCATTATTTCAAGACTCATTACACGTTCGCTAATGGGTTAATACTTTAAAGAAGGTGGTGCAAGGTAATTTGACAATAATGACGTGAGAAAATGCATCCATGGTGGGGAGAACTTGGCTTGGACCTCTACCATGCTGGATAAGACGCACCCTTGCTTTTATGTGGATAATGATAGTGTGCCAGAATTAAGTTACTTCATGAGTATTTGCTTCAACTATCTCCCTTTTAGATATAAATTTCATTCATCATTGAGTCATATAGTCCACATCGCTTCAGTTTGGATACAACTCTAGCTCTAGCTCAATATCATTATCCACATAACAGTAAGGGTGCGTCTTACCCAGCATGATAGAGGTCCAGAACCAAGTTCTCCCCACCATGGATACATTTTCTCGCGTCATTCTCTTCTAAGTACCCTGCACCACCCTCTCTGAAGTATACCACCATAGTGGGAGCATAGGACCCATTGGCGCATGCGTAATGAGTCTTGAAATAATGAGAAAGTTTCATAAACAAAGTGAATGGTGAAACAAACTAATTTGATCAAGTTGCGATGAAGATGCGATCTTATTTAGGCTGTTGTAGATACTAGTCAATGAAGGAATTGCAGTGCTGACCTTCCGCCCACTTGCCATCCTACTTGCCATCTTGAAAGTCCCTAGACGAATGAAGTAACCTTCCTTATTGGGAACGAAAGCTAACAACCAACAAGATAAGAAAGCTAACAGATTTGTGTCATCTCTTTTATCATGTTCCACCCCAAGCTTAGAAAATACTCCTCCTTAAGCATGTGACCATCTTGCTACATCAGGAAAGCCCCTGCTATGATTATGTGTCAATTTGAGGCGAGCATAATTATTTTTCTGTCTCAGGAGCAGGTCCATACCTTCGAGGTTTCTTACACCAAAATTTTATCCACTTGCCAAATAATATTTCTTGGTTAGCACTTCGAAGATCATGAGAGGTTGCAAACAAATATGC